GTTCCCTCAGTCCGACCTTTTGTGTCATCATTCCTTGACTCAGTCTCTGATCTCTGGACACTCCTTTCATGGTGCCTAACCCCAGTCAATGGCCAATAAGGAAAACCCCCAACCACAAGGGGGTTTTCCAGGGCCATTGCTCCCTGAAACCTCTCTGAAGAGGCCAGGTTCCGGCTCTGGTCCCTGGTAGGTCTGAACTCCATAGCTAATGTCCCGGTCTAATATAAAGTACATTAGCCCGATAAACTCCAGGGAGCCTCCGGGGCACACCCAGAAAATGACATTTCATTACATTCAACACTGTTATTTTTTAGATTTATACCAATTTTGGCTGTGTGAAGCCAAATTATTTTGTCAGCTAATAATTAATATGAAAATAAAGAAAATAACAATAATGTATTAACCACTTCCTGGATTGTGGTCTTTACTGTAGAACCAAAAACTGTACACTGACGTGAAGACTTGGTGTCTGTTGAAGTCATGAATCCAGATGTGTTCATGCACTGCCAAATTTTTTAGTCTATTAGTAAACAATATTTAACGCTTTCGCTGCCTGATGACGTTGTTAACATCATAAGACCAAAATATGGAGTATGCCCAATGTCGCAAACGGCATCAATCATTTCTAAAAATTTGTAGAAATACCATTTATTGTCCGAATTCTATGGGACTTGTTTTAATCCTTAAACTGTGCATGGCGTATATATACTCCATGAGTAACATGTTCCATCATGTGCATGGCGTATATATATGTAATTGGGTGCCGAGCACGATTCAAATGGCCCGCGGCTACATGGGGTTCACATCAGCTTCCTCAGGGCTCTTGTAAACAGACGCCATGTTTAAAAAAAATCGTGGGCAATATTCTCCGGTGTGAGAGCCACAGTACTGTGGGAGCAACCAAGGCTGGCGCATGCAGCATGAGCAAACAACATTGCTGTTCAGCTTGTGACCACAGCATCGCCTAAAAATGTCAAAATAAATATGTAACTGCTATTATTTAGCGATGACAGTATTACAGATGACCCTGAATTAGCGCTGTCTGGGAAGAGTAATGCTGAGGGAGGGAGGGAGGGAGGGAGATAGATAGCATCATTTACTGACTGTGTGGCCACCTGTTATTGTCTGCATTCACCATACCAGCTCAGTGGTTCTCTATGGTGAACACAAATGTAGATACTTATATATATAATGTCTGTATTAGTGTAATAACAGCAAAAGGATTATGTTGGGAGGAGCCATTTGGGTGATGGAGGTGGCGTTGTCTGCATGACTTGTCTAGCTGTGTAGAGGGTGGCTACTATGCTCTTTGGGCACCCTACAAGCTTAGGTGTACAGATACAGTGCATACAACATGTAGATACTTATATATAATATATAATGTGTGTGTATATAGGGTAATAACACTACAAACAGTATTGGGGGAGAAATTTTAATGCGCCTGACCTTGACTGAGTGAGGGTGGCAGCCACCAGCTGACTGTGTGTAGCGACGTCTCTTAGTGCCTGAACTAACTATATTAGCTTAGTTGTACATTTGTGGTGAACAAAACATGTAAATACTTATATATAATGTGTGTATATAATGTAATAACACTACAAACAATATTGTTGAGGGAGAAATTTTAGTGCACCTGACCTTGAATGAGTGAGGGACGCAGCCGCCAGCTGACTGTATGTAGCGACGTCTCTTAGTGCCTGAACTAACTATATCAGCTTAGTTGAACAGTTGTGGTGAACAAAACATTTAGATACTTATATATAACTTGTGTACATAGTGTAATAACAGCAAAACTATTTCTTTACTGTTTTATGAACATAATAATTGAATCACTAATATGAACACCATACTTTTGAGTATAGCGATGATTCACACATTTTATTATATAAATCTGTCACACTAGACACTATTGAATAATATTACTGCAAAAACTAAAAAAAATCAATCAGAGACATTTAAATAATAAGGTTATCTTCTTGAGATGATTTCTGGGCTTTTAGTGTCCCCGCTGCCCGGTCCTCGACCAGGCCTCCACCCCCAGGAAGCAGCCCATGACAGCTGACTAACACCCAGGTACCTATTTTACTGCTAGGTAACAGGGGCATAGGGTGAAAGAAACTCTGCCCATTGTTTCTCGCCGGCGCCTGGGATCGAACCCAGGACCACAGGATCACAAGTCCCGCGTGCTGTCCGCTCGACCGACTGGCTCCCGTCGGTACTAATACTCGTGACCGGTACTAATATCTTTGTGGTAACTCCCACCTGACAGCTCGGGTGACGTTCATCACCTCTAACGACCGCTCTGTCAACGCCCACATTTTGCCACACTTCCTCGGCATATTGCACCCAAACTATGTCACCTATGATTTTTTTCCCCCATGCTCAGGGAACACAAATTAATATTTTTAGAAAACGAAAAAAAATTTGAATTTTTTTCTCTTGTGCACAGGGGTGTAAATCTCCTTAGGACCCCTTTGCAGCTTAAGAATTAAAATGCTCACCAACTTCTGCCCATTCTCTGCATACCCCCACATGGCATCCTGACCCCGTCATGTGAGCGCCCATCCATATTGGAGGCTCACTGTTTTCGTAACCTCGCTCGTGACCTCACTCGTGACAGTGACAGCCCCTCGAGTCAAAAGGTTTCCTCATTCTGGTTATTTTATCTCAGGTTTTGTTGTTACCAGCTTTATAAACACTGCAAATTGACTTCCAGATGGATACTGATCAAGAACAGAGCCAATCCATGACTAAAGCATTGAATGAAACATGTATGAGGGAAAAGTTATTGGGCTTTCATTGAAAGTATAGAAAAGCGAGACTTATATGTTCTTATATGCAAATATCCCATTACAGCATTCTACTGTGAGTAATTTGATACCAAATTGAATGACATAGCATGAATAATTGAAGTGAAAAAGCATGAATAATTGAAGTGAAAAAGCCGAAAACAGAATAAACATTGGAGTCGTGAGCTCTTGGGCAATGCTCGGGCTACCTTGCAGTGCACGGCGGGTCTAAAGTATAAGAAAGTGAGAGACTTATATGTTCTTATATGCAAATATCCCTTTACAGCATTCTATTGCAAACACTTTGATACCAAATTGAACGATGTAGCACAGAAATTGAGGTCAGAAAGCTGAAAAGAGTATAAAAAAATTTGTGTGGTGGAAGCTCTCGGGGCTACCTTGCACTGTACGGCAAGTCTAAAGTATAAAGAAGTGAGACTTATATGTTCTTATATGCAAATATCCCTTTACAGCATTCTATTGCGAACAATTTGATACCAAATTGAATAACTTAACATGTTAACTGTGGTGAGAAAGCTGAAAAGATAAACATTGGGATGGTGGCAAGCTCTGGGTCTACCTTACAATGTGCAGCAGATCTTAAGTATAGGAAAGTGAGACTTATATGTTCTTATATGCGCATATTCCTTTAGAGCATTCTATTACAAACAATTTGATATTATATTGAATAATGTAGTACAAAAATTGAGGTCAGAAAACTGAAAGGCGTATAACATTTTTGTGTGGTGGTTAGCTCTCGGCCTACCTTGCAGTGCGCAGCGAGTCTAAAGAATAGGAAAGAGAGACTTATTTGTTCTTATATGCACATATTCCTTTAGAACAGTCTATTGCAAAATTTTTTATACCAAATTGAACAACGTATCACAAAAATTGAGGTCTGAAAGCTAAAACGAGAATAAACATTTGTGGGTGATGGTGAGTTAACGTGCACCGCTTGGCCTACCCTGAGGTGTGCAGCGGGTCTCCCACTGGGGCAGTGAAAGTGTTAAAAAGTCATCTTTTTTTCAACTTGGAGTTTAGTATATTGTTCAATTTTGTGGTCCCCATGTTTATTAACTGTTAGACTTCAGTTGGTATTTGATTAAGTATGTGCATAAACATGAAAGACCATTGAGATGATTTGCTGATCAACAAACATTATTGATGTACAATAAAAATCACAAAATGATGATTTGATGAATCAACAAATAAATATTGTGCACTTGAGAAGTTTAGGGATGTAGGTTTTCTCCCATATATCCACAATATTTAATCATTTTATGGCTGTTGTGGTTTTCATTACTATATTAATTATTGCCCTTGGTAGATGTGCAGTATTTCATCTTTTCAGACTTGCACAGTTTCTTACCTAATCAGAGTTGGCACGGTCGACCATATTGGCGTCAGCTGCGTGTGCTCCCACCTGAAGTGGCCTTCCACCATTTCTTTAGTTTGCTTCAGTAACATTCAGCTCTCCACAATCATAGTTAATGTTCCTCCCAACCCCTAAGCCTTTTAATTAAATACCTAAATTTTAAGAGTTTAGTGGATTAACAAATAATTTTCAGCCAAACTCTTAACAGTAACCAAATTTAGTAACTGTTGAGTTTTTCTGCCATTTAGATTCGTCTACAGTGTTTTGAATAAAGCATTTTACTTCTTGTATTATCTCGATATTGTGATAAATCTCCAAAAATGTGACAATTTTTTTATGTTCATTGCAGTCAATTTTGTTATTCATTATGTGAAAGATAATGAGCTCAGCATATGGCACAAGCATAACTAAATTAGGTTTATGCTGAAAATCTTATTTGATATGAGTGTCAATTATTTTTCTTTAGTTACTATATACAATACAACCTTTGATGGTAAATCAGTGAACAGTGGTATTTAATATTATTCTAGCTGTTTTGCCAATATTATATCCATTAGTAAATTTTTTTATAATATTGCCCTTTTGATGAACACTTTGATTAAATTTGTAGAATAGCATTAGCCCTTTATTCCCATATTATGACAGTGTTGACCACTAATAAATATTTATAATATTGTAATTAAAAAGAAAGAAAAAGTATACTCAGTTCATTTTGTACAGCATACTGTATTTGATACCTATTTGTCTTCATTATTTCCATAGATTTTGCTTGCATTTTTCAGTTGAAAAATATTTTTCCTTTATCATTTTAGTAACTCATGGATTAAACTTTCTAGTGGAGGTCGGAGTGGCAAGTCTTGGAGCTCTCCGCGTCTTAGTACTCGAACGCAGCAGTCCAATATGGAGACTGTGTTCTTCGGCACACTCGTAAGTTGCGCACACTTTTGGGACACTCATAAGTTACACACACTTTTGGGACACCCATACGTTACACACACTTTTGGGACACCCATAAGTTACACACACTTTTGGGATACTCATAAGTTGCACACACTTTTGAGACACTTGTAAGTTACACACACTTTTGGGACACCCATAAGTTACACACACTTTTGGGATACTCATAAGTTACACACACTTTTGAGACACTTGTAAGTTACACACACTTTTGGGACATTCGTAAGTTACACACACTTTTGGGACACTTGTAAGTTACACACACTTTTGGGACACTCATAAGTTACACAAACTTTTGGGATACTCGTAAGTTACACACACTTTTAGGACACTTGTAAGTTACACACACTTTTGGGACATCCATAAGTTACACACACTTTTTGGGACACTCATAAGTTATATACACTTTTGGGACACCTATAAGTTACACACACTTTTGGGACACTCATAAGTTACACAAACTTTTGGGACACTCGTAAGTTACACACACTTTTAGGACACTTGTAAGTTACACACACTTTTGGGACATCCATAAGTTAAACACACTTTTTGGGACACTCATAAGTTATATACACTTTTGGGACACCTATAAGTTACACACACTTTTGGGACACTTATAAGTTACACACACTTTTGGGACACCCATAAGTTACACACACTTTTGGGACACTCATAAGTTACACACACTTTTAGGACACTCGTAAGTACACATACACTTTTAACATACTTGTAAGCTGCACACACACACCTTTGGCACATTGGTAAGATGTATACACACCTTTGGTACACTTGTAAGATATATATACACCTTTGACACACTGGTACAATGTATACACACCTTTGGTACACTTGTAAGATATATACATACCTTTGACACACTGGTAAGATGTATACACACCTTTGGTACACTGGTAAGATGTATATACATCTTTGACACACTGGTAAGATGTGTACACACCATTGACAGGGTCCCTCTAATTACCAAAAGCTACTCAAAGCTACTCAAAGCTTCCTAATATTACATTAGTAATGAATAAATATGATATATTTATTCATTATAATTTTGGTGCTGAATGTAGAACATGGAAAAACATATTTTTACTCTGAAAAGTATCATTTCATAACAAAATTAGATGAAAATAAGCTGCCGGTGACACCAAAGCAAGGTGATGGTCCAAGCGACAATGTTGTGGAGCAACTTATCAAAGACACATTATTGTTTGCAGAGTGTTTACTGGCATATCAGCCTTTTGTACCTACCTAACCTAACCAACCTACCCAAACATAACCTAACCAAACCTAACTTAACAAAACCTAACCTAACCTAACTAAACCTGAACTATCCAAACCTAAGTTAATATAACCTGTAAGCAACAATATATCTTGGATAAGTCGCTCCACAACATTGTTGTTTGGATCATTGACTTCCTATGCCCTCTCATGCCACTTGGTTTCATCTAATTTCGTTATAAACTTATATTATTTCTGAGTAAAAATATGTTTTTTCATGTTCTACCTTCAGCACCAATGTTATAGTGAGTAAATATATCATATTTCTTCATTAATTACATAAAACTAGGAAGCTTTGGGTAGCTTTGAGTAGATTTGAGTAGCTTTGGGTAATTTGACGGACTGCCTTTGACACACTGGTAAGATGTATACACACCTTTGGCACACTGGTAAGATGTATACACACCTTTGGCACATTTGTAAGATATATTCACATCTTTGACACACTGGTAAGATGTATACACACCTTAGGCACAAAAAATGTGAAGTACACAAATGCCAGAACCAGGAAAATCCAGTTGACTAAGTATTGTAAGACAAGTTGATGCACATAAATATTGTCCCAGGAAAAGTAAAGGCATAATCAATGTAAAAAATATCTGAAACAGAACAAATATGCAAAAGTGAGTGAAGACATTTGATGTTCAAAACAACAGGAGACACAACAAACATGACCACTGACATGAGGAAGGACAACACAAGCGAGATTGATTTTTATGGCTTTGATGAGGAAAATATTTGCAGGAGTGGTTTATACAAGAATTTGGCAAAAATAGAGAACTTTTAAAATATCATATGGAAATAGGAATTTGAGGAGCAAGGTAACATCTCTAGAAGGTCAAATAAAGGAATTATGCAAGGATAAGGAACTCTGGAAAGATGAAGGAAAAGTCCTGGAGGAGGAAAATAAAGTATTAAAATTAGCCTTTGAAGAAGTTAAATCAAATCTAGATGTTAGTCTAGGAGCCGATCGGCCGAGCGGACAGCACGCGGGACTTGTGATCCTGTGGTCCTGGGTTCGATCCCAGGGGCCGGCGAGAAACAATGGGCAGAGTTTCTTTCACCCTATGCCCCTGTTACCTAGCAGTAAAATAGGTACCTGGGTGTTAGTCAGCTGTCACGGGCTGCTTCCTGGGGGTGGAGGCCTGGTCGAGCACCGGGCCACGGGGACACTAAAAGCCCCAAAATCATCTCAAGATAACCTCAAGATAGTGAATACAATAAGTTAAGCAAGGAAATTTAACAGAAATGGGGCTTTTGTCAGTAAAGATAGAGGTGGTTACATAGTGTGTAGAAACGTCCAAGAAGGATATAAAGTACAACCAACGTATACATGAGTGGCACAGATAGAAAGAAAAAAATATTAGAGGAAGCGGTTAAGGAAGCCAGAAACTGCAGCAACCAGAAATGCACTGATATCAGACAGGAAGTCAGAAAGGAACTGGCATCAAACTCAAATCTGGTACAAAACATGGTTGATAGAAGTAAGTCCCTAATCATTTTCAGTTGCACAGAAAAGGAATTAACCTCCAGGTTGGAAACAGCCACACAAGTAATGGTATTAGATAAAATTGTTGGGTTAGTGGAAGGCCTTACAACTAAAGATAATGTCTGTGACTACAGAAGAATAGGTAGGTAAGAAAAGGAAAAGATCGACCCTTAACCACTGTGATGCGCCGAGTTTCTTGTGATAGTCCCCCTGTGTACATAAAATCAAGTGTTTGCTAATTTTTCTTTTTATCTGTGTAAAATGATAAATTCCCTTCCCTGAACACGTACAGTGTAAAAAAAAGTTAAAAAATTCCACTTACTTTGGCTGTGGGGGACGGGAAGAAAGGGGCGTCATGGGCTGGTTGCCCATGCATTAAGCTCCCAGAGGCAGTCACATGCGCCATTCAAGCACCGCGAGTTTGCCACAAATATATTTTCAATTATTTGTTCTATACATTTCCAGTACAGTTTTATTTGTGTTATTTTTTATCATATATGATGCATATTTGTGTCCTTTACAATATGTATACAGTAGAACGTTCATAATGTTCCATGGAACTGGAATACATGTGTCAGTAATATTCCACAATAAATGTTTATTGTCACAAAAGTACTTGTTAAAAATTCACTAAAATTACAATATGTACAGTTTCACACACTATTTACACAGTAACATACTGTATTACACACGCAGTACTGCTGAAGCGAGTGATAATCAACGAAGCAGTCCATGGTACACAGCGCGACTCCACTCTCGTTGCACCAGATACAGATAGATTTTCACTTCCTGTTTCTTCATTCTGTGTGCTTGCAAGTAACACACTCACATACACCCTTGGCTTTAATACCTGTAGGTGGTATGTTGCCAAGTTTGTGAAGTGTAAGGTAGTCTTGAAAAGATTATAGGAAAAGATTAAATTGTAAGGTAATCTTGAAAAGATCGCTTTGTAAGGTCCCTCACTGGAAGAGATTCAGGCATTCTGGAAGAGATTCAGTCACTCTGGAAGAGATTCAGTCATTCTGGAAGAGATTTAGTCAATAAGAAAGATATTCAGCCATTCTGGAAGAGATTCAGCTATTCTTGAAAATATCTATGGAAAACACCACCACTGAAACTGCTAACACTGTTCATCTATGCTACTTGTATCAGATGCAACATCACTGAATCCAGAAAACGATTCATCAATTAAATTTAAATTTTGCCCCGAGGGGCAAGTTTATTGGGCAGCGCCTCTCATCTTGTGAGTGGACATACCGCCATCAATGTATCTATAAAAATTGGAGATGGCATGGGTGGGCAAGAGTAGCGCTCAAAGCTACAACTGGATACGCTCTCTCTGTCATCCTCATCGGTGCTATATCACTTGCATCTGACCTTTGTGCTAGGTCCTTATTGCACCTAGCTTCATCAATATCATGACTCTTATGTTCTTCAAACAATAAGGTCTGAATTTAACCGACAGAGAGCAGAGAGAGAATTTCAACATAGAGTCAGACAGGTGTTTGGGAGCCTAGAGTCAGACTGGTGTTTGGGAGCCAGAGTCACATGCGCCACCCATGGTTGCTCACTTACTACTAAGCCAGCCAGCAGCCCTAGGTCATTCTGGGAATTTTTTCCAAGATGGCTGCCTTTACTGGAGGGGCCAAGAGTCCATTTTGTACACAACCTACCGTGCACGCATTTTGAATGGGTACGAATTATTCAAAAGGTGTTTTCTCTGTTGGTGCAGTTTCTCACTGACCGAGTTTTCTCGATTGGCACAGCACAGTGGCCTTAACCAAACTAGAAATACTCTACAAATCAAAGGACCCAGAATGTGGAATGACTTTCCCAATCATGTCAAAGGCTGTACTTCTCTCAACCAATTTAAGAATTGCCCTAAATGGAGCTAAACAGATGGAAGTAGTACTCTGGAATGTTAGTAAATTACAACGTAAAGAAGATGGAAAATTATGGTCATTAAACACAGATGCATACAGCGTGGGTAAAGCTGCTGAAGCCACCATGGCAGGCAACAATGCACCCACACTCAACCCCCGAGCTGTGCAAATCAACGTCCTCACAGAGCTAGTCAGAAAAAAGCCCCATAAGAGCAAGAAATGCATAAATGAAGCCAAGTGTGTTCGAGTCCACAAGTTATCACTATGAGGGCTGCAGAAAGCAAAGCTTGAGGCAAGCCAAATAAAGA